TAAAGTATAACTGACCTACAACACTATGTTAGTTCCCTGTGCACAACACAGTGATTTGATATTTTCATACATCACAAAATGACCACTGGATTGTTTTAAATAGGCAAGTGTGTTGGTTTCCAGTATGCAGTGAAACATCATAGTTAAGGAAGTTGATCCTATTTCCTGGCCTGTCGTGCCCCTCGAAGGGTCCTCCGGCCTCTGCCTCTGCTGCCCCGCGGTGGCCTTCTCCCCTCCAGCCTCGGATGGTCTGTCCCCAGGTGGCTCCTGGAGACCCGTCTGTTGGGTACAGACCACGCTTCCAGAGCCACTTCCCGAGACCTGTGCAGGCTCCCGGAGGTTGAGAGCCTGCACCTTCCCTCCACCTGCTCCCCCAGGTGTCTCCACTGCCCTGTCCTCACCTTGACACATGGTTGGGGCTCCTTGTGACCTGCCAGCCCGCCAGCGGGCTGCGAGTTGGATCTGCTCTTCTGAGCTAAACTTTGGGCTCTCGCTGTGTAGACTCCTTTGTAAATGGCTCTTGCTCTGTCCTTCCTGGTGACCACATCTTTCTCAGTCAGAGCTGGAAGGGACCCTTCCCCACTCAAGCACAGAGTCTCAAGTTACAGAAACTCCGGAGGCTCTGGGAGGATGGACGGTGTTGGCGACGGAGCTGGGCACAGAATCCGGATTCCTGACTGCAGGTCTCCTCCCACCAGCATCCTTCTCTCAGTAAAGTCTGTTTTGCGTGAGGCTCTGCGTTATGTGTTAATGGGAATCTGGTTGCCAGGGAGCTTTTCCTTGAAGCCAGCAGGTAAGGGCGTCTCCCCAGAGGAGGCTGACAGTCATTCTACTTTGCAGTCTGGTTTTTTGGGGGATGAATAAGAAAATGGGATCAGCCCTTCTTCCTTAATCATCATCCTCGTGCGTAGGCAAGCTTAGCAGTGGGATGTGGCTTCGTGACAGTAGAAAATGCCACTTACGTGGTCAGCTGTGGGTAAACGCACTGCTGATGCATTTAAATTGGTACTGTGTGAGCAGAAGCAGTCTGGCCAAGGGCGGTCCAGACGGAGGGAAGCTGGGAAGTGGGAGGGGAGGCAGCCCAGGTTCTTGGTTTCCAGGAGTGCAGCAGGGAGATGCAGGGGGCACAAGAGGCTGCGAAGGTCCTCCTTGGCCAACCTTTTCCTCGGGAGGTAGATAATGGCTTTGGGTGTGCAGAGGTGAACATGTTTATTGTAAAAATATACAGATTTTCAGAGTGCATTAGGACAAATTATAACCAGCCCATCGAACCTGATTAGGGAAAGGCCGGAGTAAGCATTGAACCCCAAACACGTGTGATGCCATGCGGCTCGAGGGAGGGAGGGTGGGTTTGGTGGAAGCCAGGGTGAGGGGGGTGGGGGTGGGCAGATGTGGAAGGGAGCCTGGAGGCCTGGCCGAGTTGGCCCTGTCTGGGCAGGAGAGGGAAGCAGCCCTCAGGAAGTGATTCAGGGCCACCTAGGCCACCTTCGCCTCACCCAAATGTTTGCCAAACTTGTTTCGTGCTGGCCCTCCAGTCACTCCCTGCCCGGAAGCTAGACAGACCTACCCTCGTCACACAGATGGGCCTCCCCCGGCCCCTCCCTCGGGATCGAGTTCAGGCTCCTCACTGAGCTTTATATGGGCCTTCCAGCGGCCAGTAGCTGCTAGTGGTCTTTCCCTTGAGGCTTCTTAAGCCCTAGAGCCCGGGGCTAAATACCTGGTCAGCTTCTGCAGTGCAGGGGGTGGGGTCAGGGGGTGGGGAAGGGGAGGAGGAAGCTTTCTTAACAGCCCCACGCTGACCTGGGGCAACCTCTTTGCTTCCCTCTTGCTCAGCATTTAGCTACCGTGTTTACATTTCTTGTGATGTTGTCTACCGTCCTGGAACGGCAGAAGGCTGAGGGAATGACTTATCCTCGTCTGTCAAGCAGGGTTGACAGTCCCGTCTTACAGGGTTTCTGGGGATGATTAAGTTAGCGATAGCTCACACTGTTCTAAGTGCTTCACTGAAGTTAACGCGGTTAAGTTACACATGCGGTAGGGACTATAATCCCATTCGACAGATGAGCAAACTGAGGCTGGGGTGAACTCGTCCTCCATCACACAGCCAGTCAGCAGCAGCTGAACCAGGATCTGAATCCTGGCAGCCGGCTCTTACCTGCCAACGACAGAAGCTGCTGCTTTGTGAGCATGTGTAAGGCATCAGCCGCTGCTGCCTGCATGTTACTTACCTACTATTACCTGATGTCCCCACCACAGAGCCCAGCTGCGGAGGCCCTCGGGGAGCAAGGTGGGTGCTGGGGAATACCTAAAGAGAGAAGAGGTGGGATACATGGCCGGGGAGCTTGGACCGGGATAAGACCACCGCAGCAGGGGAAGGATGGCGCAAAGTCTGAAATCGTTGGAGGTGGGGAGGCAGGTTGAGGGAATTGTGACAGTGTAGGGTAGGGGGCCCAGCCTGATGGCCTCGGGGTACCTACCCAGGGCAGCCCTGTGCAGGGCGGAGAAACAGTGCACCCTTCACCTCATGAAAGTTGGGACAAGTCTGAGTAAGACTCAGTTGTCTCGTTTTGATATATAAGGAAACTTCTACGGAATACTGGATCCTTACCCAGTGGGCAGAAAAGCCTGGAGGGTGGGTCGATGCCAGTTGGAAAGTGCAACCCCCAACATCGTGGGAATGTCAGCGTCGCAACGAGTGGCCCCTCAGGTCCAAGAGGGCTGAGCTCTTCCCCCAGAATCTGAGAAGATACCAACTCACTTAACTCGAGGAGAAAACAGTAATCAGAAAGAAAAATAGGAAACAATAAAATCACTTTACTTTGCTACTCTTCATTTGGAAAGATCATTACAGTATTGTGTAAAATTCAGCCAGGAAGGATGCCACAGGACGGCACAGTCCTGGGAACCAGTGAGAACCGTCACCCCGGTGTGTGGCCCTGGGCAGGTGAGGGGGCTGACCTCGCAGCCTGGCGCTGATCCTGAGCTGAGACAAGCCAGGCTGGGGGAGGGTTGGGGGGAACCAGGTTCCTCTGTGATGAAGGTACCTGGTGGGGGCAGAAAGGTGGGCTGCTCAGAGCACCTCTGTAATCCCCACTTCAGATTCAGGTCTGCAAGTCCCCAGCAGAGGCCATGCCTGGACTGACGCCGGCCCCGGCACTGGTCTGTGGAGGAAGATGCTCAAAAGTGACACAGCAACCGTTTTCTTGGAAAGCTCTCTTCCGTGTTCTGTGTTGTGGACGAGGCTCTGCGCTGCCTTCCAGTTATACAAGGAACTTGCAGAAGGCGGGAGGGAGGAGTGAGGGTTACAGACCCGACCACGGCAGCTCCGAGGGCCTGGGTGGATGGGCTTATTCAAACATCCGGCAGAGAAATGGTACAGCTCCTGATCTGTTAGTTCAGGCTCTCCCGATCCCTGACGAACTAGGGCAAACAGGCCCTGGGGACAGCAGGAGGAGGTTCTTTGGGCGAAGTGTGACCGCCTCAGTTAGTCTCTAGGCCTGGGCTCGGAGCTGCGTCCCGGGAGGGCCATGTGCCAGTTCTCGGCGGGGTTGTTGGTTCCACTGCCTCTGTCCCAATGGCTAGGAAACCAGCGGGCTCTTCAAAGTGTAGTGGATACAGAGCTACCCCTGCTTCCTGGGCCAGCTAGGTGCAAAGTCCCTGGGGTCAGTGGTCACTCGACCAGCACTCTCACGGGGGAGCTTCATTTCTGGAAGTGTTTTTAACCATGTCCCAGGGTCAGATCATTGTAAACATCTTGTCCTTTCTTTCTCATCACCAAAGCCCCCCTCCTGGTACTGATGCAGAGGGTCCCAATGTGAATATCTGTTATATTTTCCACAAGACCCATGAGGAAAGAGGGAGGGTCCAGGCACACTCGTTCTTCCTGTATCATTCTAGAATGATGGGAAAGTTTAAAAACAAAAAAACCCCAGGTGTACTGTGATCGCACGTATCAGGGCAGGGCTGGGGGTCCTGAGACTCGGGGTGGGGACAAAACCCTCTGTTGGAGACAGTCCTTTGAACCATTCTTGACAAGCCTTTTCTTCTCCCTTCTGGCTGCTTCTAGCACTGGAGGCGGAGGGCCATCTCCCTGCTGAGTGAGGACCCGAGTGACAACCGTACAGTGGGCTGGGGGTGGGCGTGGCGGGACGCCCCTCCCACGGGGAGAGGGATGGTCAGCAGAAGAGCTCCTCACAGATCCTGCGTGTGTCCTCGGGCGCCGTCACGGTGTAGCCCACCGTCCTCGGGTCTGTGAAGATCTCGTGGTCGTTCCCACCCTGAGAAGACACGGCGCAGATGCAGGCGCCACCTGGCTCCTCCTGGGCCAAGGCTGTTGCCACCCAGGGGCCTGGGGCCACCAGAGAAATAGGACCAGAAATGAGGACCCTGCGATTTTACCGGGTGGGGAGCATCTCTTCAGGCACCTTTTCTTAGCCCCCAGGAGAGGAACAGCAAGGGTACTCTCGTACCAAAAAAGGGTTTTTCACCTTCCCTTGAACTGCAGTTTAGCTTTGGAACATGCAATTATGCCTGTGAAAGAAATCACGATGTTCCCATGAAGATCTGTCTAAGGCTTATTTTTCTATCAAGAAAGCAGAATTCTCACCCCATCAATTTGTTTTAACTGCATCCAAACTTTCCTAACAGGTCATGGGGGACTGTAGGAGGGCAGACAGTCCAGAGCAGCACTGTCCTTGAGACTTTCTGTGACGATGGACACGGTCCACCTCTGAGCCGACGGCGGCCACACGTGAGGCCTGTGACAGAGGGACTGAGTCTGATTCACTGAAGTTTAAATAGGCCCATGTGGCTGGAGTCTGAGCCTGGTGGCCTGGGCTCAGATCCTGGTCTAGCACCGGTGAGGGGGGTATGTGGGCAGCTCCCCATCTGTGAAGTGGGGATCGTGGCAGCACTTCGCCCAAAGCACCGAGGCCACTGGTGGACGCGCAATCCTGGGGCAGCCCCAGCGCGCAGCTAGCACCGCTTCCTAGCGTTTTCATGCTTCCTTCCCCCTGGTGAGCCCCTAGGAGTTGAGGCCCGGTCTGGAAGGGGCCAGGCATGCTGGGTGCAGGGGGTCCTGTGACTGTGGATCACCTAGTCTGTGCTGCACCCCCTTCCCCAGTCCCGCCCATCTCAGGGGAATGCTGCTTCCACAACCCACAGCCCTGCAGGAAAGCCCCTGCTTAGCTATATTTTCCTCATAACATTGGATAAGCAGTCTAACGCAAAATCTTGAAAAAAAAATCAATTAGTTTATAATGTGATGAAAATCACTGCAGCGAAAATGGATTTTTTCATAAAACACAGCGCACGAAGCCAGTATGGAGAACACGATTCTGTACGAAAATGACATCCTTTTAAACAACGGACACCTGAAATTATGGCTGCTCTCATCTTTGTAAGAACCACCCACCCCCAAGCAGACGGCTTCCCTAGGAGAAGGTGAAGCTCACAGACCTCATGAGGGGCTACTGCCTGGGGCTGAGGCGTGCCGGGCGGAGCCATGTTGGGAGGCCATGGCTTGGAGCCACACTGGGCAATGTTCTTTCCCAGAAGCCTGCCAAGCCTTGCGCGGGCCTCACGAATTTATGTCCTGTGAAGGGGCTCTGGTCATTCAGCTGGCCCCCAGTTCATGGCCAGCATCTCCTGAACAAGTACACGTGAAGACAATTCTTACGACAAAAAAAAGATTTCTCTTAGGAATGGCCTGGTGTGGGGAAACCAGCACAGAGCACCTAACCAAGCAAGCAAGAACTCCTGCTCTATTCAGAAAAACCCAGCACCCACCTGGGGACACTTTCACTCCAGTGTCACTCACCGACCCTGGAGGGAGGGGTTAGTCTTCACGGATTAACCCAACAAACCGTGTGCAGCGCTCACTACCCTCCAGGCATGGTCTCAGAAGCTGGAGATACAGTGGCAAACAAATGACGTCCACCTAAGGGTCGCCTTCCAAGCTTACATTTAAGATGGACATAAACAGCTCTGTGGATGCTTTGCATCTGCAAAGAATAAGGGGAGGGGACCAGGGTGACAGGGGAGACGCCTTTGAGCAGAGGCCTGAAGGAAGAGAAGGGACAAGCCCTGTGACCGCCCATCCGGGAAAGGCTGCCAGCCGGGCTAGAGCCTGCTGGGCTAGAGCCTGCCGGGGAGGGGCCGGGCCGTGAGGCCTCGCAGGTCGAGATGAGGACTTGGGATTTTATGTGAAGCCTCCAGAAAGCCAGGAGCCAGGCTTCACACCATCAGGTTCACTTCACAAGAGGAACTTTCTGGAGAATGGATGGGGGATGAGGACTCAAAAGCGGAAGCAGAGGAGAGTCAGGAGGCTCCAGCCCCCAACCAGGGTACAAGGCAGACAGAAGCCACTCTCTGGGGAGCAGCAAGGCTTACAGATGCCACGCCTGCCCCAACCTGGAGAGGGTGTCCCAGGTGCCCAACAGATGCCTCACCTGACAGAGGGCCTGCTGGTGGCGACGGCGGGGAGCTGTCCGTGGAAGGAGGCTGAGCCCTGCTGCCTTGTAAGCCACTGACTCGTACCAAAGCCAGGTCCAGAGATTCCGATCACCCGGGAAGGAGAAACCTCCTGCAGCCCGGTGGGGCCCGCTGCTCTCAGAGGGCAGCAAAGCTGCACTGCCCGCACTGCCCACATCTCCCGCAGGGCAACTGGCCTCAGAGCGGGCGGGCTCCCTCCTGGGGCTGCACAGACCTTGCAAACCAGACTCGGAGTGAGGTCGGGAGAAGCAGAACCAAACCACCAAGCTAGTGAGTGCCACCCACTAGAAAAATAAGGCTACAGTGAACAGGAAACTTCAAAACTGGATTTGCATGTGCACCAAAGGTTACTGGATTCCTGCTGGGCAGGCTCAGCCACCCACAAGCTCCAAAACAAAGCTCCTGTTTCCTGGGAGAAGACGGAGGGAGGGAAGAGGCGAAGGGATGAGTAAGTGATCATGTTTCCGTTAAGGTGTACCTGGCAGGCCCAAAGTAGAGGCCCCGGATCAGCGCAGGCTGCCCATTGTTTAATCCCTACAAGGCCAAGGTCTGGGCCGACGGGAGGAGGGTCGCAGCGGGAGGAGGGTCGCAGTGCAAGCTGATTTTCTTGCATCAGTGTCCCGGCCGCCGCCAGCTGCATGCCCTGCTCCAGACACAACTCCCAGGGGGTCTCTGCTGTGTGGATACCTGCCCGCGGCACAGGCAAGCTCTCTAGCTGCACATGGACGTTTACCTCGGGTAGTTCAATAAGCACTTAGCCAATTTCTATCCATTATGGGTACAAAGGCCACCAAGACAAAGGCTCAGCCTTCAAAGATCCCAGAGCAGGGGTTCTCCCCTGGCTGCAAGTGACAGTCACTGCAGGAGCTTTAAAAATACATCAATAAAACTGGGAAAGAACAAGAGACATGGGGGCCAAAGGCCCAGGATGCACTAAGAGCTCCCGTGCCTGGGTGTCTCTGGCCACAGGAGAGCTGGGTGCCCAGGGCTTACGCAGGAGGCTGGGGACCTGATGACTGCGGTGTGCGCTGCTCTCCCAGTATGTCAGAATTAGCTGTGGATGAAAACAACCTCAAACAACTTTCACGTTTAAAAATGAATGCCCTTAGATAACTGCTGATTTTTTTCCTAGAAAGAAGTAAACAGCTATGGTCAAAAACAGCCTGGCCCCAGGGTCATGAGGTTTTGAAAGCGATCAGGTGACTCCAATGTGCCTCCAGGGCTGAGGACCAGCAGCTCAGAATCTAGTGATGACCAGGCTAGGGGTGAGGCTGACGCCCCTGGGTGACTGCCCCTTAGGGTCTGGCGATGGCTCTGGCACAGCTCCCCTCATCCGTAAAACGGGGTTCAGAGATGCGTGAGGGGCCCTGGCACGGGAGCACATCGGGGAGATGCTGATGCTGCGGACACCAGTGAGCCCTGGGGGCCTTAAGCCTGGGTCTCCCTGAGCAGGAGCGTTGGGGTGAGGGATGCTCCCGCCTTGGGGTGGGGCTGGTCCACCGTCCTGTTCTCTGGACCAACGAGGCCACCAATTCTGGGGTCCGGAAGGAAGGCAGGCCCCCAGTGGACACATGGGACCCATGGTTCCCCTGCACAGCATCTGGCTTCCTGTCCTCCCGCAGGGGGCCCAGGGTTCTCAGCAGGGTTGAGAACCTCTAATCTGGTCCATCCTCCTCCAGGAGGCTCAGACCACAAGGAGTGGCGATTTGCCCTGGGTCCCTCCAGGAACGAGCGACCCCCTCACCATGCTAACCTAAGCCTGCCACCAGCCACACAAGACCTGGGGCTCAGATTCTGCCACAGAAACAAACAGTCAGGTAGGTCTGTCCCAAGGACACATTCTGCACTTTTGTTAGCCCTAAGGAGCCTTGGGAGCCCTGGAGATGCCAGGAGATGCCGGGAGATGCCAGGCTCGCCGAGAAAGCCCAGGCCCCGGCCAAAGGCCTAACAGAATCTCAAGGGTCGCTGGGTACCACTCACAAGGGCAACCTGTCACCATCCCGCAGGCCCCCAATCTCACAGAGCAACCTCAGTACTAGGTGAGCCTTATCACAACTTCCTTAAAAGCAGGGGCCTCTGGATGAAGGCCAGGCAGGCCTGCCGCTGGGAAAGAGGCACATCCCCAACGCCCTTCCCTCTAAGACCTCTCACTTTGTTCGGTCCTTTGGAAGCGTACCCACAACCCCCTGGACGGCCCGGGGCACTGAGGCTTAGACAGACACACGTGTGGTCACCGCGCCGGGCTTTTGGGGGGCCGACTTGGGTGCTCTCGGTTTCCAAGCCTACCACCTCATGCTGACTGTAAAGGATGAGCAGTCTTAGTGTTTTGGAAGTGAGAGAGGAGAATAAAAAGGGCATGGGCTTCCAGACAGCACTCAGCGAGCAGCTGGCCCTCTGCGGGGCCCCCGCATTCCCCGCCTCCCCCGGCTGGTGGCGGAGTGGAAGTGTCCTGCTCAGGGGTGGAGCTGAGGAAGAACCTGAAAAGCTTCGTTCCCTTCCTCTTTTCAATTTGACATTTTTAAGTTTTATTTTTCAATAGACAGCACCTTCATGCAGCTCAAAAATTTAAAAACAGGGTCTTGTCACAGCGGTAAGTCTCTCCCATCCTCATCCCACCCCCACGGTAACTCTGTAATTTTGGGGGTACCCTTTCAGACCCCCTGTGTGCGCTTACAAGCAGACACGAAGAGAAATGATTTCTCTGTGTTTACACAAAAATGGAGCCTCTTACCAGCACTGCTCCACACCAGCTGTGCTTATGCTACCTGGCATTCCGCTGTGTGGCTGGACCCCCGTTTATTTCTCCATCTCCTGCGAAGGGTGGGGTTGTTTCTGGCATGCCCCTCTCTGTAGCCCTTTCTACACACGTAGGAGTGAACTGAGAGCCGAATTAACCAAAGTGGAACTGCGGAGTCACACCCATCAGTGGGTAATGCTCACCAAGTGTTCCAGTGGGTTTTCACGTCGCCCCGACTTCAAGTCCAGATGTTTTTTACAAGAAGCATTAAACAAGCAGAGGCACTGTTGCCTGGGAATTCGGCAAGGCTGGGGCTGAGCTGGCAGGCGCAAGCCCCCTGGAGAGCCAGGCCGAGCAGCCTGGGTGCATCTCCCCAGGCGCTGGCCATCTCCCTCCCCGCAGCAAACCGAGCGCCCCCCCCCCCCCCGCCCCCCCGTCCCCACCCGCTACTCCCACCAAAGGCCGGGCCCAGGGCCTGTAAGCTGCCTGTTGTGGCTGCCGGGACGGATGAGGGAGTTTCCAGGAGAGCCAGGGCCAGCCCCTTCCCTCTTCCCTCTGCTCTCTGGAGGTGCTCGGGGCAGGGGCTGGGGAAGACACGGGGGACTCGGTGCAACATCAGGCTCCGGCCGAGCTGCCGGGCAGGCGTCTAAGCCTGCTGAGCTTGGCAGGGAAAGGGCTTTTTACTGACAGCGCTTAGCTCAGGTGCTGTCTCCCTGGGAGCCGGCAAAAACATTTTGCCTTGGCGCAAAGAAAGAAAACAGCTTTCTAAATATCTATCACTGAATACGAAAAGAAACTTAAAGCAAGTATTTGGATTGCTCAGGGCCTCAGGTTGTTAAAAGATTTAGATGGCTGGACTGCTAACTCCCATCTCCAGGAAACCACTGATAAAAAAGATCAGAGAGGAGGTCAAAGAATGATGCGAGAGCGTTTACTCCAGTGCTTGTGAAGACAACGAAGAGCCACAAACCCAAAGGGCCTCTGCCAGGGAAATGGGTAAATAAGCTGTGCCCAAATGCTAGAATGTTATACGGCCATTAAAGGCTTGTTTTCAAAGAACATTCCCCGACGTGGGGGGAACGAAATATAGTTAAGAGAACAAAAGCAGAAACCAGTGAACACACCGTGTCCCACATTTGGGGTCATATACATTGCAAAGAGGCTGAGAGGCATGTCAGCTGTGATTTACAAGTGTCTTTTCCTTTCTTGTTCATGCTTTTTCTAATTTTCTACAATGAATACCTATTAATTAAGAATGGGGGGGAACCTCCCTTCAATAGTATCCATTTTTTAAAAGTAGGTAAGATTAAAAAAAAAACAAAAACTGACGTATGGTAATGCAGTGGTTAAACAGAAAACTCTCTAATTTCCAAATGAAGAATTCCCCGAAGATGTTGTTTTCTAATTATCTCAAGAACTGCATTCCATCCTGCAAAGTCCCAGCTGAGGCTTCATCATCACAGAACAACCTGCCTCAGCCCCTCTGAAGAGCTGTCTTCTCAGCCTGCAGGAATCAGCCCAAAGCCGGGAGGATGGGGGGGAAGGCGGGGGACCGGCGAGGGCGGCTCGTGGGATCCTAGTTCCTCAACCAGGGATTGAACCTGTGGCCCCCTGCAGCGGAAGCGTGGAGTCCTGACCACTGGACGGCCAGGGAATTCCCCCAGTTTTATAATTTGGAAAGCAGGACATGAGACTATACTATCCAGAAGTCCCTTTCACGCTGGAAGACTAGCACGTTGAGATCTTACTGAAAAAGGCAGGTCCACATAGGAGAAACCTTAGCAAAACAGCACGCATTTTGGGTGGACCGGGGGTTGGAGGGATTAAAAACTCCATCCATGCAGCCTTTCTGCTGCTGCAGTACAGCCACAAAGCCTGAGACAGGAGCCTGATGGCAAGGTAGCTACCACCACCGGGTGGCCCGTGAGAGGGAAGCAGAGAGGCACGGGGGTGCAAGAGGAAGGTAAAGGGAGGCGGCCCCGGGCTGGGCAGTGACCACTGGGGGCTGAGCCTCCTCTGGGCCTCGATGGCGACAAAGCCCCTCCATCCAGCCCCTTGGGGACCCACCTGTCCTAAGGAGAGCCTCGCCTGCTACCTCGGTGGCTCTGGGGAAATTCCTCCTGCTGGCCTCTCAACACCTGGCTCTGCTCTCAGTCCCCAGTTTATTTTATTATTTTGGCCGCGCTGAGAAGCTTGAGGTATCTTAGTTCCCCGACCAGGGACTGAACCTGTGCCCTTGGCAGTGAAAGCGCCGAGTCCTAACCACTGGACCGCCAGGGAATTCCCATCAGTCCCCAGTTTAGATTTGGTCCCGGACTTGGGATTTCCGACAGCCCCCCCGGGACAGCCTCCTGCCCCTCAGTGTGTGATGCCCAGGCCTGACCCCCCACCTCTCATCTCTCCTGAATTCCAGACTCACGAGACTCTTGGTCCTCCTACCATTTAGGACTCCTAGTGCCCAACCTAAAGGAACGCCCCTGGGGAAAAAACACGGCGGAAACATGAAACAAAAACAGCAAGGGCTTTGAAACACAAAGAGGATCTGATGACAGCACTGGGTCTCATTCCGGAAGGCGCTCGAGGTGGGTGACACTTAACTCAAAGTCAAACTGAAGGGCTCCATCCTTGCCTTCAGAGGTGTCGGGTGTCTGCGCGCAGAGAAGAGGGGGCTCCCTCACCCCCCTCTCATAGGACAGAAGCTATTACTCAGTTTGAGCTGGGCTGCCAGGTGAAGTGTGGCTGGGGGCAGAAAAGCCCGTCTGTCCGCTTTCCCCCTCTTCAAACCCAAATTGAACAACGAAACTGCAAAAACACTTCTATACTTACTGGCATGGTTTTGTCACCAAAGAAATAAATGGTCTCATAGCCGTCCTTTTCCACATGTCCCAGGCAATACCTCTTGTCCCATCCATCAGGGAAGACATCAAAGCTGATCTGACCTCCTGCCGCGGGGAGGGAGACACACAAGCTAAAGGTGAAAAGGAGGCTAATGATATGTCACTGAAAGAAAATGTGCCCTTTGACCTTGTCGGCAACTGGAGTGCCAAGGTTGATTTTTATTACCTCAGTTTGCTAATTACAATACTTTACGGGTAGGTTCTAGAAATCAATTCTTGCATGACTTTTTTTTTCTCCAACATGACTTCACCTAAAACCTAAAAATCTAAAGTCTAAAAAAGAGACACAGTGCTGATTCATCAGAGTGAGACCCACAATGGCTTTGCACCCGAGCGGTCTGCAGAGCGCGCTTAAACGAAGCCCAAAGCAGGCCGGTGAAAGAGCTGCGAACAGCTTCCTTCAGCCGTGCTCCCCTGGAGCTGCACTGTGCGCTCGGCGGAGAGGCCTGGGAGCGGGATGCATCCAGCTCGTCGTGCAGGAAAATGAAAACCCCACGGACGGGGATTGCCAGGCAGCTTTCTTGGGCAACAAAAACCCTTTCAGAGCTGTGTCAGGGAAGACGCTCATCTCACAGTTCAAGGATACTTAACAAGACACCCATTCATCTTTTACAGAGGCCCTCTGCAATTCCAGTTTTCTGGCAAGCGTACGCTTATTTGAGCCGGTGAAAGGAGAGGGCTGTAAGTACGGCTTGTCAGCACTGACAGCAGAAATCGGTCTGTTTAAAGCGTTTGACAGGCATATTCCACCAAAAAGCGAGGCAGAGACATCAGCGATGCAGGAAGAGCTCTGCATCAGACACTGGAAACGGCCGCATGCTGGCCTGCCACTATGAACAGAAATTTCGTGAACCTAGACAAGTGACTTCCCCTTTCTGGGCCTCGGCTTCTTCATTTGTAAAACCAGCCCAAGTGACTTCGAAGGTTCCTTGCCATTCGAACATCACAGGATTCCAGAACACATTCAGTCTACTTGATCTAAGAGGCCCTGTCCCACCTCTCTCCTACAGTCACCCATGAGCTAGCTGTCTTCTGCCCAAAGGTGTGGGGATAAGTTCTCACTCTTCACTAAGCAATCTTATTTTTGACTAGGAGAAGTGCAGGCAGGAAAAATCCTGCTGGGCGAGGACTTAGAACCAAACCCAGCAGCGTGGAAGTCATCTCCTAACCTGAGTCCTGGCTAGCGCTGATCAGGCAGGAGGGCAGTTTCTTGCCACGGACAGCCCAGCTGCAAACTCGTCACCGTCCAAGTTCAAGAGCACACCGGCCCACAACCACCTCCCAGCAAACAGCTCCCAGAGCCTGAAGCCCGCTTGAATGCATGATACCTATGGAAAACGTGAGGCCTTTCCCTGCAAACTCTCTCCGCAGATCCTCCACGAATTTCTGTCTTATACTTTCTTTCTGAGGAAAACAAAAAGATACCAATAGTCCACTGCATTAGAAGCACACTTTCTTGGCCACAGAGATGCACACCACACGTCCATACACCCGGCTATTTCATAAAGACTCACCTGATCCAGTTCGTAGAACTCAATGCGTTCTTCTTGGCTGCAGCTTCTTCCGACGGGGGACACATTCAACATCCCATTTCGGAATTCGATGAAAGTACCCCTGGGGAGGAAAAGGGGACGGAGGTCCCAGAGATACATCATTTATTTGAGCAACACAACAGATGGACAGACAGGCTAAAAAGCCGGCCAATTCCAGGGACGTCCCTGGCGGTCCAGCGGCTAAGACTCTGCACTTCCACTGCAGGGGGCATGGGTTCGATCCCTGGTCGGGGCATTAAGATCCTGCATGCCGAGGTGTGGTCAAAAAAAAAAAAAGTGGGGCGATTCCGATGGCAGAGGCGGGTGTGATCAGCCTTTGGCGGTGCTGTGCTGGGCCGTGTGGCGGCCACGAGCCTCACGTGGCTAGAGAGCCCTGAAAACTGTGGCTGATCTGACCTGAGATCAGAGTTCACAGATTTCGTATGAAAAAGGAGTGTAACCATCATTGACAATGCTTTATACTGACTATATTTGAAATGACTATAGTTTGGATATAGTCAGTTAAATAAAACATATTAAAATTAATTTCACCTATTCCTTTCCGTTGTTTATTTTTTTTAAACATGGCCACGGAAAGCGGAAAAAACGGCACATGTGGCTCATATTACATTTCTGCTGGACGGTGCTGCTCTTGACAGAGAATGTTATAGTTAACAAAGAGCTATGAAAATGATTGCTAGCTCTTCAAGTTCCCTGAGGAATTTGAAAATATATGTCCCAGACACCTTTGCAAGTGACCTAGTGAAATGCTGATTTTTACCAAGAAAAGCAACACAGGAAAAGCTGCTGAGGATCCCCAGGTGAGCCTCAGTAATAATACTCCAAGGCCACACGCCAGGCGTGGGGCTGGGACCAGATTCCACGCCAAAGCCGCCACTTACCAGGGACCCTGGGCACCGCTCTGCTCTGAGCTCAGAAAGGGGTTAATGGCACTTGCTCTGAGGCCCCCTGAAAGGGCTCCGGAAATGAAAAGTACCAGTTTATCTAAAAAACTGGGAAGCAAGTAAAGTAAAAATAGCGGTATCTCCATCACTGGATCCTTCCCCTGCTGTGTTCAACTTGCAGAGAAAGAGGCAAACGATACAACAACGTATGTGCACCTAAGACACTTTTTCAAACACCCCGTCCCGGTTGTCCTGGACTCGGTACAGACCAGCCTGTCGCCTATACCTTCTACATCTACACTGGGGTATGGGGCCTTGGTGATCATTCCCAGGGGGGATACTAGGCCTGTGGGTCCTAAACTGTCAGAAAAAGAGGTCATGCCCAAGGCAGGGAGGGAGGCTGATGCACTGTAGAAAGGCTTCTGTTCTAAAAACCAGGACTAAGGCGGTTGATCAAGCATTCACTTCCCCCCTGAAGACCTGGACGATGTGACGTCTTACTACACTTGCCTGGCGTGTGTGGGACATAGCATTAGACCCACGAGCAATGTGGGTAAACGCCGATCAAGGAGGAACTCAGCTCTGCCTTCTGAATTCACCGGGTGTCTCAGGCTAATTCGGAGTCACAGCTCTGCACGCTGGGCCCTCTCACTAGATGACATCTTCTTTGGAGGACAGGAGTGTATCTTATCCTTTTTTTATCCTCCCTCAATGCTCAGCCCAAAGTAAAGACTGAAATGACCTGGGGTATGTTATATGTTCACTTTCTACAATGGAGAATTTCTAATATACGTAAAAGTCAACAGCACAGGATAAGGAACCCTCACGGGCCGTCTCCCAGCTGCCAGAAAGATGGACTTCGGGTCCCTCCTGTCTCATCCATCCCCCTACCTGGGACAGATGTGAAAAAGGAAGCCCCTGCCCTCTAAGAGGAGGTGCCGAGCAGGGGCATCTGTTTCGGAAATTCTGGAAACAGGTCTCGAGCACTCTCGAAACTCCAGCATGTCTTGAAATCCAATCACCCTTTAAGAAATGTTTCACCCTCTAATCATTAGGGTGTTACACATTAAGTGCAGAAAACCGAGAAGATGAAAAGTATTTCAAAGAAACCACCTGAAATCTCATTACCAAGAAACAACCACCATTAGCATATGGTCCGTTTTCTGCATATCTTTTAACTGTGGGCATGTGTGCACATTACTGTTGTTTTTATTTAAAAATGGGAATTGAGATAACAGTATTCAGAACAAGAGGTACGTTCCCGAATCAAATGCCTACCGAGGCCAGAAAAATGAGACAAGTGGCCCGTGAAAGACTGGGGGATGGGGAGGGGGGCAGCGCTGCCCGCCAGGCTGCTGCCACCTAGGAGGGAGCATCGAGCTGCCGGGTTTTCAGATGCTGCAGAAGCCGGAAACCCAGGTATTTTAAAGTGTGAAATCAGACTTTTAAATGATAGCACTTACTGCAGATTTTACTGAACACCAGGGGCCAACTGAACTTGGCTTTGCCTGGGATTTGGCCCGAAGGCCTCCAGTTTGAGACTCCTGAGCTGCGGCCTGGGCTGATGCTGCTTTTCCCACACTGCTGTTTCACAGGCATGTGCCTTAACTGATAGCCTTTGAAAGCATATAGTTTTCAACTTCCGTCACGTGGACGCACCATCATTTATGTAATCATTGGTCTACCGCTGGCTTTACAGAAGGTTTCCAGTGGTCCCTTACTAAGCACCTGGCTTTGGAGTTGAGTTAGCTCCAACCCACCAGACGGCATCAGCCATATTCCAGTGGTGCTTCTTTGCTAAAAGCAAACCCACCTTTTCTTCGGGAGTTTAATTTTCGCGATGTAGCTCAGACAGTAGTTGATTAAATCCTGGATTAGGGCCTCACCCAGGTGACCTTGAATGTTCTAGATAAAGAAAATACTGGAGTTAACTTGACACAGTGGGAGGCATTTTCAAAATGGCTTTCCAGCAAACCCAGGTCTTCAGCCTCTGTGGCTGGAGGGTCACCAAGCAGTGGTGGGGACACACCCCACTGCCTTTCTCCTTTTCTCCCTTTTTCTCTGGTTGAAAACATTAGGCAAACCAGAAAGGGCCTCAGTTAAAACCATTTTCTGCTTCATTACTCAAGATTTTTGTATTCATTATCTCTCAAGTGCTTCCTGGAAGCCCCAAAGAGTTTATTGCTGCTGCCTTTTATTCAATTAAAATATCTGCAGACACTGATAGAAAATATATTTGTTCCACTTTGGCTTCCTCTTACGTCTGAATAGAAGGATCTTAATGGTAATAAGAGCTACATGGTACCTCTTAGAAATGCTTGCAGCAAGACAACTTGCCCTAGTCTTTGCTACCATAATAGAAATATTAGATTAAGTAACCTTGAAAAACAATTATAAAAATTTAGTTAACAATTTGGAATGTGTACTAGTCACATGATTCAATATCCAAAATGTAAACAATACAGGGTGAAGATTCATTACCACTCTTCTCTCAGATATAACTCCCTGGAGGCATTCAATATCAGATACCTTTTTAGAAAACATTTCACTAGTAGTACAGAGTAGTTTGGATACTTGCAAACCTACCTGTTTGCACAAGAGTTTCCCATCTTTGTATGCTACCAAGCCATTTTCTGGAAACACATAATCATATTTTTCAACCACTGCCAACAAAACAAAATTGAGAATGCAATGAATTGGACCCTGTGTTTCTATTTCTTGATTAACATTAATCGCCAATAAAAATGCTAAACTCCAGTAATGACTGTGAAAGGCTATCTCATCTTAACAGATTGGGAGGGTAGAAAAAAAGCTCCTTAAAAACTTTTTTAAGAAGGCTCTTCATTATAAATTTAAAAGATGACAATTAGGCTGCAGATTGGAGACTCGGTGGGCACCTCAACGATGGCTCCCAAACCCCACTGTGAATCTGCATCACTGGGGCAGTGATGAAAATCTGCAGAATTCCAGGCTCTGCTCCCAAGGTTTCTGAATCAGAATCTGCAGAGGCCAGGTTAAGAATCAGATTTTGTTTTTTAAAGCTCTTCAGGCGATTCTTATATTCATTCACATTTGAAGACCACCCACATAAATCTTAATGGAGCCTCAAACTCTAGGTGCTTGCCAAAATGCAGATTCCCAGGCACTATGTGTTGGGTGGGGCTCCCACATCTCCATCTGAATGAGCTCCTCAGGTGATTCTGATACAGGTGGGTCTTCCACTTTCTTCTGGCTCGCTACTGTTTTGATTCTGGAGTTTCAACTCTCACTCTCTGAAATGTAAGACACTGTGCTACACTGACAAAACCTCTCTGAGCCTGTGGTTAATTACGTGACCAGAGGCAGAAAGGGCAATCGGGACCAGGTAACAGGATCCCCGGGTCTTAATGTGTCCCATTATGTTGTTTATAGCGTTTCTAAACAGAGCACCTACAAGGAAAATTAAGTGTAACCAGAACAGAGAGTTTTAAAGGGACTACACAGATCCCTCTTTCAGTAACTGGTTCAATAAATACACCCCACACAGATTTGCACTGTAAGATATTACATCTAGAACAGTGGTTCTCAACTGGGGGTGATTTTGCCCCCTGGGGACATCTGGCAGTGTCTGGAGACATTTTTGGTTGTCACACTGGGTGTGGCAGCACTACTGGCATCAGGTGAGCAGAGGCCAGGGATGCTGCTAAACATCCTACAGTGCACAGGACATAGAGAATTACTGGCCCAAAACGTCAACAGTGCCAAGAAGAATGCTCAATCTCTCTCTACCTGCTATTTCTTATAGGCCAGGCACCCTGGAGGCCCTGGGGCCGTGGAGATGAATAATCCATAGCACTGGTCTTCAAGCCAAACACAACCAGACAGTTTCCAATAATCAGAGCGCTGCACCCACAGCACTAGACTCTCTTTGAGGGTAGTTGCTAAAGTATGATTCCCATGCCCTACAGACCCATGCCCTTCAGAATCTCCAGTGAAGGGGCACGTAAGAATCTCCACCTTCCTGGGGTCCTGGGCTTGAGATTCTGGTTCACTAGGTGGGGAGGAGCCTGGGTGCCTCCCGACTAGGGAACTCTGGGGAACACTGAGATAGGGCAACAGAGGGAGGCATGAAGACCCGGATCACCCCTCAACACCTGGGTGAGAAGGACGTCAGGAGATGGGGCCCGAACTGAGGCCAGAAGGGCAGTTAATGGGGACCAACAGGAAGGACTGCAGGCCGAGAAACAGACACCCATCTTTCTAGGTGAATCTGTCCATGTATCCGAGTACCAACTGTTCCACTAGCAACTCCAGAAATTTACTTAGAGGACTAAAAACAGAGGAAAAATAAAGGCAGAGAAAATGTTTCCCCAAACAAGGAAGCAGGAAGCCTGAAGCCTGCCACACGGGGGTGAGGGCTCGGGGCTCCTGTGATACTAAATGGCAACAGGTCCCAACGTCTTCATGAGAAGTTGACCTTTTACCAAAATGTAGCCAGCAATGTGGAGTTTACCATCGTTTCCCAGTTGCTCCTGTACTTTCTCAAAGTCCGACCCGCCTACGACTCCAACTTTGATCTTCTGCCTCAGTTTTTGTAGAAAGCAATCCATGTCTTTGGTAATTTTCTGCATTTCAAAAAGAAAAACACAACAGTCAAGAGTCACGAAGTAATCGGGAGACTAAAATCCCAAGAGTGATATAACCCTTATTTTTATAACTGCCAATTGGGTTTCTAGGTCTACAGATAAGACCAACTATTTAGTCGTGCTTTTGGGACATCAACTTTTTTATCAGAAAAAAACTTGTTAAATTTTACTTATTTTTACCTAGTTTAAAACACACAAGAAATATATTAACAGCTGTTATGTACTGCTCTAGCCTTTTTTCTGTGCATTTATATATACACTTGTCTATATGCACATATATAAATAGGTGCTTTTTGAAACACAAGTGGACTCATTCCACATCTTGTGCAATGACTTGTTTTCTCAGCACTAAGTTGTGATTTTTCCACAACGCATGTAGACCTACCCCAGTCCTTTCAAATGCCACACTGTGCTCCATTTATGGATTTAAGTTGATTAAAACAAAATAACATAATGAGATTAAAGAGGAAGTTGAGAGTTGATTTATTATAATTATATAAACAAACAAAAAGCCTTAGAGTAAGACCACTAGATTTTTCAGTCTCTCCTGAAAGAAAAGCTCTGTCTATAAATAGTGGTCTCAAGACTTCCCTGGTGGTCCAGTGGGTAAGACTCTGCGCTCCCAATGCAGGGGGCCTGTGTTCCATCCCTGGTCGGGGAATTGGATCCTGCATGCTGCAACTAAGAGTCCGCATGCGGCAACTAAGACCCAGTGCGGCCAAAATAAATAAATAAATGTTAAGAAAAAATAAATAGTGGTCTCAGTGGTATAATTTTATGCTAGTTAAATTCCAAACCGTGTGCCCATTCAAAAGAAATTTTAAACTGACATGAAAAGATATCCCTGTGTTCAAGCAAATCACAATGAAGTTTTTAAACTTTTATTTCATTACTTTTAGCAATCTTAATTGTACACTTACATGGAATATCTACACAAATAAAATTACCAGAAATTAAAAACAAAAAACCCACTTAACTCAACTTCAGTACAAAAACATCCAGAATTCAATCTTCTCCTTTTCTTTCTTTTTTTTTTTTTTGGTACGCGGGCCTCTCACTGCTGTGGCCTCTCCCACTGTGGAGCACAGGCTCTGGACGCGCAGCCTCAGCGGCCATGGCTCACAGGCCCAGCTGCTCCGTGGCACGAACCCGTGTCCCCTGCATTGGCAGGCGGACTCCCAACCACTGCGCTACCAGGGAAGCCCTTATCCTTTTCTTAAAAAAATTTTTTTTCGAGTAATACATGCATATGATTAATAAAATAAAATTGTACAGAAGGGCTTACATCAGAGTGCAATCTTTTCTACATCTTCCGGTGGAATCTTGACCTAATAGACAAAATCTAGTGGCCTCTGAGTCAGTGATTGTGAAAATGGGTCCCAGAGTCCCCACAACTGCTTTACTCAGAGCCGACGTCAGAATGCAAGTGGGGAAGATTCCCATGATTGCAAAATATTAAAAATGCAACACAAACGCAATACTTCCACCTTCAAACAGAAGCCTAAGGGCACAATTTATTTTCTCTTGACCCTTGTGCACACTGATGAGTTAAATGGTATTGCTGTCCAGCTATCAGACGTGCTCTGCAACTTGCATTGGTCAGAGACACCTTTTCGCTTCCAGATGGCAGCAAATACTTTTTGACAGGAAATAAGACCTAGCTGCTCGTGACCACAATAGAGCATCTAAACTACCCCACACCGCAGGAGAGATTTGGAGCAAAATAACCACACAGCCAAATTGTCATAATGTTTCTAAATAACTCTTGTGCTGATAATTTCAAGGAATTCTAAATCATCCCAGAGAAAGAGCCAAAAGCTTGGAATTAAGGTGAAAAAATGTTAAAAGTTCACCTTCTGAAAAATTAAAAAAAAAATTAATAAAAGACTTTTTTGGGACAATTAAGGAAAACTGAGTGGAGCAGAGGAAGAGTTAGAAAATAGGGCCTGTGGGCCAGACCCAGCATGCTGCTTGTTTTTGTAGAATGACTGGAACACAGCCATATATCCATTCATTTCCGAGGTGTCTGTGGCCACAACTATAGATGTGAGTAGCTGTGACAGAGACCATATGGCCTGCGAGCCCCAACCATTTACTATCTGGCTTTTTACAGAAAAAAGTTTGCTGACCCCTGGACCAGGGTATAAAATAATATTAGGGAATTGGTGATAGTTTCCTTAAGTATGATGACGGTACTTTGGTTACGACATATGTCCTTGTCCTCAAGAGCTGCAGGTGCGAACATTTAGGGGTGAAGTACCATTATGACTACAGCTTAGGAAGTGGCACAGAAAAGATTAAAAAAAGAGAGAAAGTTAATATCAATCACTGTTGAATTTAAGTGGTGGGAATATGGATGTTTTGGGTACTATACTTTTCCAGCGATTCTGTACGTTTGAAAATTTTCATGATAGGAAGTTGGAAAACAATTCACCCAGGTTTATATCCTAGTTCTAAGTCTCAACTGCTTTTAGATGCAATGGCATTTCTTAGGAAAGTACTCAGAACAGCAAAATTCTACTAAGACAGTAAAATGTGCAAAGCTCTGGACTCCACTCTAATTAGATTTTACCTGTTTAGGTCATATACTATTTCAGCAGCTGCAGGAAAAGATAACCCATTTGACTGCTTTCGGATTGTCTTGTGCTTATCAATGTTTGAGAATGCGAGTACTGAGGAAGGGAAAGGTTGTACAATGAACAGATCTGTTGCTAAAATAGTTTTTAGTTTTTATTTTTAAAATAGCTTTATTTTTTAACCTTGAGCACCCAGCACATAAACAATTCTATTTTTTTTTATTTTTAAAATTTATTTATTTAATTTATTTTTTTCGCTGTGTTGTGTCTTTGTTGCTGCACACAGGCTCTGTCTAGTTGCGGCGAGCAGGGCTACTCTTCATTGCGGTGTGCGGGCTTCTCATTGCGGTGGCTTCTCTTGTTGTGGAGCATGGGCTCTAGGCGCACGGGCTTCAGTAGTTGCGGCACGCGGGCTCAGCAGCTGTGGCGCACGGGCTTAGTTGCTCCGTGGCATGTGGGAACTTCCTGGACCAGGGCTCGAACCCATGTCCCCTGCACTGGCAGGCAGATTCTTAACCACTGTGCCACCAGGGAAGCCCTGAAACAATTCTCTTTACAATTAGATTATTTTTTGAGTGTAAAAATTTACTTACATTCGCCAAAGAATATCACGTTTCAAATGTTTTAAGGGAGAACACTGCGGGTTGCCTGGTCTCGCTGCTATTTCATACTTTATGCTTATATATCCCTGGTACCTTCTGGGAATCAGAAGCACGTTCCTGAATGACACACCTAGTAACACAACAGCCTCCACCTTGGAGCAGTAGCAGAAAATGGCAAACTTAGCAAACAACGATGCCCTGAGGCCCAGAGACTTGTACCAGATCTCTTGTGTGAAATCAAGGTCATGGTTCCACTGAGTCTGTTTCCTTATTTAAAATGGAAATAACAACTATCCTACCAGGGATGAAAGAGGGAGAAAGGTTAAAAGGGTCTAATGATACTGTGTAAAAAGGCTTGGAATGTAAATCCAAGGCCATTACAGCCAATGGGCCAAATTGAGAGCAGTTTTACTGGAACGCAGCTATGCTATGTCTACATAAGGTCTATGGTTGCTTTTGCATTAAAGTTGAGTAGTTACTACAGACCATATGGTCGGCAAACACAAACGTATTTGCTATCTGGCCTTTTACAAACAATGAATTGCTGACATTGGCTCCAGACCACTAGGCGCTAATTAACAACCTACAGGTGTGCATGGATCACTGAACCTCAGAATCAAAAAGGGCCTCTGGAGAACTTGCAATTGAGCATCATTGCTAGATACATAGCACCTGTGGCTCAGAAAGGTAAAATGATAGGGACAGCTAAGGTCACAGACATTCGTTGTGAATTCTGGAGCACACATACCACTGCTTTCACCTGGCCCAAACTAAGCAGGGTAGAGCTAGAACTTGAAGACAGTGAGGCTACTTGGGCCAAGTCTCAAGTTCAAATGGCTGGTGTTCAGTGACTAATCTGTGCAAGGGGGAGGTCAGAGTGGGCAAAGATCACAAATGTTAATCTTAACTGAAATATATCCGTGCCTACGGCAACAAAATCTGGAAATGAGAAGTTTCTAGGAGTCCAAGGAGGTTCTCAGCAGGCAGCCTGCAGTAATCTAGGTCTCCTCCATCACCCCACTCCACTGCAGGGCTGGAGAAGGGAGTGGTGGCGGTCGCTGATATTAACTGAATATTATTGAACCCAGTCTACCGTATGCAAGATACTTTCATGAACTTGTATGATTTCATTCGACACCCACAAACACCACATGCAACAGGTCCTATCCCCACTTAATGCCATAGATGCTGAGGCTCTGAGGTTAAATGACTTTGCTCAGGGTCACACAGTTGTCAGGAGGTAAAGCTGAGACTCTACCAGGTCCGTTTGACCTGGAAACCTGTGTCTTTCACATCAGGCTACAGGCAGAGACCATACGTCATAGGTCTGAGGAGGGCACACAAGCTGGTTAAGGGGCAGAGCTGGGGTTCAAATCCGGGGCTGGAGGTGAGAGTCCAGAACTGCGTTTTCCAACCCAAGTTTCTTGCTCTCTAGAGTTTTCCGGCCTGTCCCATCTCTTCGAGCACCCTGAGGTCTTGAAGAGCTGGTGGGAGCTTCCATCTCATTCCTCCAGGAACCCAGAATAGAGTTCGGTCCCTTCAGGGGAGATAGGCGGTCCTTAGCCCCGTCTGGGAGCAGCAGGGGGCTCTGCACCGGCTGCCGCAAGCCCGCCGGACGCCGCTTACCTGCCGCGGGGCCGTCAGGGTCCCGTCCACGTCGAAGAGGCAGAGCGCTGGGCCGTGCGCCGCCATGACCCCAGTTTCCACGCGTACCTTACAGGATTCGCTGGCACCTGGAATCCGTCTCGGAACTTCCGGGACCAGCCCCCCTGCCGCAGGGCACGCCGGGAGGAGGAGAATCCACTCCCATAATGCCTCGGATTAGCGCTAGCTGGTTTCTCTGGACTACAGATCCCAGAATGCAATGCTCCTCTACGCTGTCCTATTAGGGCCGAACACGCGCTCTTAGCGGTTCCGGGAGTAGGAGGGATTCACTTCCGGCAGCCGGCCTTGGAGTCATGGTAAGAAGGCGGGTGGTGGGAAGTAAGGGAGGTGACGTGTTTTGTGGGTCGGGGGCAGGCCTGGGGCAGGCCTGCAGACACCTGGGGTTCTGATTTGGAGAATCCGTGGGAGGGACGTGGGTTCCGATTTGTTATTCCCCGCTCTCCTCTGCGCTCAGGTCACGTGGGCCAGCAACGGCGATAACTAAAACTCACTGAGCACTCGCCGAGCATCAAGTGCATTTGAAGGCTTTAAAACCATCATCACATTCAGTATATTTTGGATCCCCATTTTGAAAGATGAAGAAACTGGGGCCCAGAGAGGTGGAGTAATTTGCCCAAAGATCCACAGCTGGTGACTGTAGGAGTCGGGATTGGAACACAGATCTGACTTCACCGCCCAAAGTATCTTTCACTGCACTATTCGAGGTGTGGAACTGTGCATCTCATAAAACCCTTGTGCTACGGTTTGACGCCTCCCTCCTCCTCCGTTCTACCCCATCCCTCAATTTAGGCCAAGTAAACAGCGTTTCCCTTCCGACCCCAAGATGACGCTTTAAACCTGACCGAGAATTGGGTAGTTATTATGATGAATGTCTTGCGGATTTGTTCCCCACTGGGACAGTGATTGAGTTTCCTGCTTGGGGAATTGTCACACACGGTGTGGATCCAGTGCCAGCCCAGAGTTGGCCCTCTCAAGGTATTTGTTGAATGAATGAAGGCTGCGCCTCCTTTCCTATACCTACTTGAGCTGTCTGGAGGAAAGAGGACCGGTTTAAAAGTCAGACTCTGCCCCACTCACTGGCTGTGTGTCTTTGGGTAAATTTCTTACTTTCTCTGGGCTTAATTTTCTCCGTGGTAAGGTAGAAGTAGTGGTTCCCATCGCAAACAGCTTTTGTGAAGATCACGTGAGGTAAAGCATCTGGCTTTACCTTTCTTTCCATCTCTGGCAGTGATGCTGGCCTCACAGGATTGGTGGGAACCTCCGTGTAAGATGCTTTGCAGCTGTTCCTTGTGTGATTAGCATGGTTGAGTTCCATGAGAGAAATGGTCTCCCTGTCTCCCTTTCAGGCCGCCTTCCTCCGAGCTGTGCCGCGGTCGCCAGGGCCAGCTGTATGGGGAAGGCCTCTCCACGGGCTGTGGTACTGCAGTGGGCGGGATCCTAGGAGGTGGGTGGGAAGCAGGCCACCAACCTCCAAGGAGAAACCACCCGGCACAGAGACAGAGACATTTCAGATGGTGTACCGGTTTGATGCCATCAGGTCTTTCGGGTACTTGTCTCGGCTGAAGGTGGCACAGACGGCCCTGACGGTGGTGGCCTTGCCGCCTAGCCTCTACTGGTACTCCCAGGGCCTCGTGACCTTCAACTCCCTGTGCCTGGCGGGCGGGATCGCTGGCTTTGCCCTGGCCATGTTGTGCTGGATGAGCCATTTCTTCCGGAGGCTGGTGGGCATCCTGTACGTGAATGAGTCGGGCACCATGCTGCGGGTGGCCCACCTGACCTTCTGGGGCCGGCGACAGGAGACATACTGCCCTGTGGCCGACGTGATCCCCATGACGGAAAGCCAGGATCGGCCTCAGGAGCTGTTCATGCGGATCCAGCAGTACAGTGGGAAACAGACCTTCTACCTCACCCTGCGCTACGGACGCATCCTGGACCGAGAGCGTTTCACACAGGTGTTTGGGATGCTGGACAAGTTCAAGTGAACGGACAGGGGGCCTCCTGCAGGCAGCCTGAGGGTGTGGGCGGGGCTGAAGGAGGGGGTCGGGCAGCTGGAGACTTTGCCGGGGCCTCTGGGAACTTGTCTTTTGGGATAAGGAAATTCATGAGGTAGAAGTAACTGGGTTTAGAAAGAGGCCCTGAGTGCAGATTCTTAACTGCACTTGTGTGTGACATTCAGATAATGGCCAGAAGTTTCTGTTAAGAGCCAGTTCTTGGAGGAAGCGATGCCAAGCTCTCTCGAACAATTACACTGCTGTGAAACCAAAGAGAGAGGTGGGGGGCGGGAGCCAGAAGACTTGGGTCTGTCCGTTTCCAAATCCCTGTCCTGGGGCAGGTTATCAAGTCTCTCAGAACCTTGGTTTTCACATCTTAAAGTGGAAAAATCCTCCCTGTCTCCTGGGATGGGTGTGAGAATAAACAATAAATGTCATTGTTAGTTCAGAGGTGATGGCGCCGCAAAAGGCTTCCAGGCAATGGGTAGGGATTTCACCAGCCCTGTGCTGCGCCCCCTTGTGGACCCGGCGGCGGGGGGACCAGGATGAAGCCTAGAGCTGGGTCGTTCATCCTGCCAGCGCGGTAGCTGCACAGCCACTGGGGCAAGGTTGTAATCCGAGCAAGTTCACCGCCCAGCGGTCTAGGGGCTCTCACATCAGAAGGCTTTGCAGTGTGATAAAGTCAGATGAACTATATGCTGGTGTGATACTTTATCAAATAAAGCCAGTTATATGTAATGTCCCCCGTAATTAGCAATATGCTTATTGTATAATTTGTAACAAAGAGGAAAGAAGTCATGATCTTTAATTCTACCACTCAGAAGTCAATAACTAAATTTTGTTTTGTGACCTTCCAGTCTTTTTTTATTTTCAAATCGTAGTAAAATATAAACATAAATTTATCCTTTTAATCATTTTAAGTGTACACTAAGTGGCATTAAGTATATTTAGTGTTTTGCAACCATGACTTCTCTCCATTTCCAGAACTTTTTCGTTATCCCAACCAGAAGCTCTGCACCCATTAAATAGTAACTCCCCAACACCCCGTTTCTCCAGCCCTTGGCAACCACTAATCTGCTTTCTGTGTCTATGGAGTTGCCTGTTGTGGATATTTCATGTAAATGGAATCATCCGCTGTGTGGCCTTTTATGTCTGGCTTCTTTCACTTGGCGTAATTTTGCAAGGTTTACCCATGTTGTAGCAGGTATCGGAACTTCATTCCTTTTTTATGGCGGAATAATATGTATATAGCACATTTTGTTTATCCATTAATCTTTCGATGAACATTTTGATTGTCTCCACCTTTTGGCTGTTGTGAGTAATGCTGCTGTGAACATTGGTGTACAAACATCTGAGTTTCTGCTTTCAATTCTTTTGGGTATTTTCTGAGAAGTGGAATTACTGGGTCATAAGGTAATTCTAAGTTTAACTTTTTGAGGACCTGCCAACCTTTTCCATAGTGGCTACACCATTTTATATTCCCACCAGCAATGCATCAGAGTTCCAATTTATCCACATCTTTTTTTTTTTTTTATATATAATAGCCATCCTAATGGGTGTGTATCTCACTGTGCTTTCAGTATTTACTTAAAACATAGATGTTATCCTGTATCTGAAATTGGCTTTTTTTTGCTTCATGTTATAACATAGGACTACGTCAGTTATAAACATTCATTTAAAATATTCAGTCACAAGGAAGAAACCTTGTGACTATGTGAGATGCTGGATGTTAACTTACTGTGGTAGTCATTTTGCAGTATATACATATATAAATCATGTTGCATACCTTAAACTAATACCATATTGTATGTCAGTTATATCTCAATAAAGTTGGAAAAAATGGGCAGCATACCTTACAAATAGATAAAAACAAAAGGCCCTGATTATTTGATTTTTTTTCATTTAAATACTTTTTATGCAAAAAAAAATCAGTAATTGCAAAATATTCCACTGAGTGGTTGTAGCTGGTTCTATAACCTTTCTTGTTTAAATGATCTCCATTTTTTCAGTGCTATAAAGAATGTGATAAATGCCAGCTATATGGAGAGATATCTTTCCTTTGTGTAGACTGCAAATGGCATTTTGAGAAAAGTGACTTTATAATGACGATAACATGAAAGAAGTTGTTAGGTCTTCTCAATTTATTGCATTTCACAGAAGCAAGTAAAGCATGTAATTCAAGGCAGTTTGTCCCTGCAGGCTTCCAAATCAACCAGTCATCCCAGACCTCTTCCGCTGGGTGCTGAAGGCACCACGGTTCATAAAAGGGGAGGATTTGGGCCTTTGGACTGACAGCATCTTGGTGGGGAGGGAGGGCGGATGCTAAGTGTATGTGTATAATTAGAAATGGGGAGGGACTTCCCTGGTGGTGCAGTGGTTAAGAATCCGCCTGCCAATGCAGGGGACACGGGTTTGATCCCTGGACAGGGTAAGATCCCACATGCCACGGGGCAACTAAGCCCGCGCACCGCAACAAAAGATCCCGCATGCTGCAACCAAGACCCAACACAGCCAATAAATGAATAAAATGGGGGAAAGTGCAAGGAAAGAGAAGAGTGGGGTGGCCTGAGGGGGTGAGGCCTGGGGATCCCAGGTGTGTGGAGGAGATGGACATGAGCACTGCTTGTTCAGGCTGAGGGGACACAAGCGTGCGTTTCTGCCCTGGACAGGAGTGGGGTGGGTGCCTTTGCTAAGGGGAGGACCCTGAATTTGATCCAAATCACTGTGGGGAGCCTTTGAAGGTCAGTGAAAGAAAGCTTGGGAGCTCTTAAGAACAAGAGGAAACAGCTTTTAATTTGTATTTGTTTTTAATTAAAGATGCAAATGAAAGGGCATAGACTTATGGATTTGTCATTGCCTCTGTTAAATTCCCATCGTGTGTTAATTCCAGCCAGTTGAAGGCAACGGTCTGGGGAGTGTGTGACCATGTCCCTCAGATATTTGGGAATGCTGGGCTCCCATTGTCAGCTGGGGTATATCTGCAGGGTCTGTCTAGATAGAGGGGCTGTGAGTGCCGTGGACGGTGTGACCGAGAGCCCGGTTGTGGGCCTGGGGGTTCCCAGAGAGCCGCAGACCCACTTAGAAGTGCCGGCTCTTAGGGTAAATGGCATGTGGTTCCACTGACTTAATTTTATACCAACTTTACTCTAAAAGTACAACCAGAACCTGACTGCTCTCACCTGCTCCAGCCCTGCCATTTCGATCCAAGCTGCCCTCATAGCCTCTGATTATTGCAACCTGCTGCTTCCATCCTTGCCCTTCTAGAATCTGTTCTCGCAGCAGCCGAAGTGATCCTTCCTTTCTTTCTTCCCTCCTTCCCTCCTGCCACACCTTGTGGCTTGCAGATCTTAGTTCCCTGACCAGGGATCGAACCCATGTCCCCTACAGTGGAAGCACGGAGTCCTAACCACTGGACCACCAGGGAAGTCCTGCCAAAGTGATCCTTTTAAAAAAGAGAATCACATCACTGCTGTAGAAGCTGAAGTCCTTACTGTGACCTACAGGGCCCAGCATGGCCTGGCCCCGCCCCTACCCCCAGCTTTCTTCTCATCCACAACTCTGCATTTACCACTTCAGTTAGCTATATTTCCCTTGCTCTTCCTCCAATAATCAAGGACCCCGCAGCCTCAGGGCCTTTGCACTGACAGTTCCTCTGCCTAAAAGCCTTTCTCCCTAGGTATCTACATAGAAGTGTCTATCTGTCTGTCTCCAGTTTCTCTCTCTGTATAACAGGGGTGTTACTATTTATCCTCAAGAAGTTGTACTGAGGATTCAATTATATAGAAGACTCGATTATATAATCTTTAGAGCTGCTGGTTTCCTTCCCTACCTTTCCCTCACCTGCTTGTCAGTGACTTCAGTTCCTGTGAACCTCTTCTCCCAAAGACACAGTCTGTGCCTATAAAATGTCTTAAGAGGGATTAATGATCTGACCTTGACTTATTAAAACCAAAAGTTAAGTAGGCCTGTTGGGCTACCTGTAAGCACTTACCTGAGTGAGCTTCACCCCCTGGAGATTCTGATTATGTCTGGGGTGGATCCCCAGAATCGGTCTTTTTGTCAAGCTTGAGGCTAATTCTGCTATGCAGCCATGCTGGGAATTTCTGAAATAGATGACCAGGGTGGACAACACCAGAATGACACATGCCTCTGTGTCCCTGGGCCAATTTTTTTTTTTTTTCCTACAGAATAGGTTGTCCGCCTGGGCTCCGTGTGTAGAATCTCCTGGACACCTCTTAAAAAATACTGTTGCCCAGGCCCATGACCAGTTTCCCTAGAGGGGATTCTCATGCGTAGCCTGATTTGACAATTACTGCCCAGAAGTGTCAGTTCAGTGGGAGGTGACAGCCCCAGTTCTCACCGTTCTGGCACAAAAGAGCCTCCACTTGGATGTGTGGTTTGCTCATGCAGTACCAGCAGAGGGCACACAGAGCAAATGCATTATTCTATCCCTTTATTTCCAAGCTAAAATTGCATGTGACAAGGGAAACAGTTTAGGGTTTCTGCAGTGCACCAGCAGGGCAGTAGTACCCAGTTCCCTTGCTCCAGATCAGCAACAACAAAAACAACAAAACTCGCCTGTGCTCAACCCTGCAGATTCTGGTTGGGCAGAAGCTGGGTATCTGTATTTTGATGCTTCCCAGGTAATTCCAAGGCACCCCAGGTTTTGAGAATCATTGTGTGGGATTGGGCCTTCCCAAGAGCCATGCCTCTCTGATGGTCAAGCAGCTTCTCAGAAAATGGAAACGGTCTTTAGATTCAGGTGGTGTGTGGTTATATTGGTGATTTCCCCCTTGGAAAACAGTTCCAAAATAATCATCTAATAGAAATACTCAAGCATGTATATGAGGATGTTCACTGAATGTTTCTAATAGTGAAACAAACACACAACAACAACAGGAAGTAAACTAAGTTGCCATTAGTAGGCAACACAGTTAAATAAGCTATGGAATATTACATGCCCTTAAAAAGAGTGAGGTTGAACCATATCTGCTGATGTGACAGGATAATCATGGGGTAGTGTTAGGTGGAAAAAGCAAATCAGAGAACAATATAGTTCTGTATGATCCTATTTGTGATTTAAAAAAACGCATTCCAAATTTTTCACAGTGGTTAATTCTGGGGAGAAGATTCAGGTGGATGAGACAGAGGGAAAACGTCTACTTTGAACTTTATGGCCTTCTAGTATTGTTTAAAATTTCCGTAATGATCATGTCATCCATCTTAACAAATGAAGTAAAATGCTGTACTAAACACAATCTCTTTTGCCATCCTTTCCCCCTCCTGCCAGCTTTCGAGGTAAAGAGAAAAGTTTCTCAACCATGAATCTCCATTCTGGACTTGGAAGCTGGGTGGACAGTAGGAAACAGTCATTAAAAGCATTAGTGATACAACCGTGTCTGTATTTTGTAGACTGGTTTTCATTCCCATCTGCTGAGAACCATCTGGACTTTGGGCACCCCACCTGCCCTGGGCTGTGTATTATTTAGATGCAGGAAATGGGGTGACCTGTAGCACATCCATTTTCACATGGTAGTTGCTAGGGACTGAATGTTTGTATCCCCTCCTAAAATTCATATGTTGAACCATAGCCCCCCATGTGATAGTGTTTGGAGATGGGGCTTTTGGGAGGTGATTGGAGTCAGATGAGGTCATGAGGGTGGGGCCCCCACGATGGAATCAGTGCCATGTGAGGACACAAGCAGGAAGAGACCCTTACCAAGGACCCAACCCTGGACTTCCAGCCTCCAGAACAGTGAGAAATAAATGTTGGCTG